AAATTTAAACTCTTCATTTTGTTTAAATATAATAAAAAAAAAAAAAAAAAAAAAAATTTGATATTAGAGTTTTGGTAGTTTGCCGTCAACAGCAAGTTGTGGATCTTCTCATCAGTCCGATGTGTCCATTTCCAGTGTTTTCATGAGTATGCCATAAAATATATTATTTAACCAGACTTATGTTGACGTAAATATTTTCCTTTAATTCTCCCAGTGGTTCTCCCAGTTCAAACGTTCACCAAAGTCATGATAACACTGAGGCAGCAACTATTGGTATGCAGATTATGACAATAATTATGATTGTTCTTTCTATGATATTTTATATTGTTTCTTTATGTTGTTATATCCATATCTATAGCTGCAATTGACCAAATACGTGGCATGCGGGGAAAACGTATTTTAACTGACGTTATACAACATATTCGACCAGCGTCGTGCGTAAATAAGCAAGGTGCAGTTGGTCGTCCAGTTATGGTTCGAGGTTACGATATTGATGGTACTTTGCTATTTTCTGCACAAAATCTGAAAAGTATAATGGTAAATGATGTCCATAAGATACTAGCAAAGGATCGTGCAGGAAATACAGTAGAAATTAAAATTAAACATGTTGGCATAGTAGAATTAACAGATATGCAACAGATGCATGTACTCAACTTGATTTTACGTCGATCTATGGAAGCCTTGAAACTACAACAATTGAATCGAAATTTTTTTGATCCAGTAGCTAAAGTAAGTTTAGTGTATGGTAATTGTTTAATGAAGTTTATTTTGCTACAAGCTTAGCTTAGATATTTCATATAAAGTAATTTTAAAAAATTGTTTTAAGTATTTTTGTTTTGTTTTTTTTTTTTCATTCTAGATACGCATTGAGAATTTTCGTTTGGAAATTTGGCCAGGATATATTACCTCTATTCGTCAGCATGAATTGGATGTACTGATGTGTGCTGAAATCGCACATAAAGTCTTGCGCACTGATACAATTTACAACATTTTGACTCAATTAGTGAAAGTGTCATCAGATTATCAAAACGCATTTGAGGCCGAAGTAATTGGTAAGTAGTACATAGTAATATCTAGAATAAAATCAAATGATTATCAATACTTCAATAATAATCAATAATAATACATTGTTACAGGCATGGTAGTAATCACTGATTACAATAACAAAACATACCGTGTGAGTGATGTAGATTTCGGTATGTCGCCCAAATCCACTTTCAAACGAAAGGAAAAAGATGTCACATTCGTAGATTACTACAAACAAGTAAGGAGAAATTCTCTTATAACAAATAACAAATATATAGTCTCAATAGCAACTTTATTTATTCATTTTTAAATATTTGTTTAAAAAAAAATTTATAAAATACTAGATATCCCGGCAAACGTTGTTTTGCCATATAAATTAGTTCTAGTGATTATTATTTTTTTTTAAATGAAATGTAATGAATGTATTGTGATTGTGTGACAATGTGCTGTAAGATAAAAAGAGGAATTGAGCGCTGTAGACGATGATCGCCGATCAAAAGGAAAAAACACCAACCATTCGTTTTCTTGATTCAATATATTTCATTAAAATAACGGACATATTCCTTGTTTGATCTCTTAAAAGTTAAATTTAGATTCAAGAAGTAATATGTTTATTCGTCTTTAGCCAACACACATAGGCTTGATAGTTTGCCCACGCGAGAACATGCCACGTGTCCAAACCTAAGCCGTAAGCAGACATCGTTTGGCCTTCCGACTTATTGATGGTAAAATAGAAGTAAAATAACCGGCGATCCAACTTACAGTCATAGAATGTGTGGTGGTGGCATGTCTAACAAATCCAGTGACTCTTACAATATATGTTATTGTTGTTGTTGTGGTTTCTTCAGTTAAAGCTATTACGCACTTTTGCTTTTTTGAGACTGTTTTGTGGCTAGGGCGCTTATCTCTGTCCCTCTCTAAGCTTTAACTATACTGGAATTCATATCGTTTATTTATTGTATAACTGATGACGGACCGTAGGTCAGCATATCTTCCTGTGGGTTCTGAGGTGGACTTGAGGTTTGTTAGAGCGTGGTGGGGCAGCGTATCAACTTTTGTGAATAATTTTAGGGCTCTGTCCCTGATATATTTTTTCACTGAGTCGATCCTTACATCTCTCTGCATGTCTGTTGTTCTAATATACCATGGAATCATGGCAGTATCTGAGGCTTTGCTGAATGTAACACATCCGTACAGTAGTGGTGGCCTAATTATTTGAGTATGTAGTAACTTTCTATTTTTGTGGTTGAAGTAATTATTATTGAACAGCGGCTTTAGAAAATGTAGGATTTTTTGAGCAGCTATTCCGTTCGCATTTCATTTGTTTATACCAATTGAGCCGTTTGTCAAATGTGACCCCAGATATTTTATGCTTACCTCCCACAATAAATCCGTGTAACCGACGCTCACTCTTGGAGGATGCTGCCTTCTCTTTCGTATTATGAATATAGCCTTGGTTTTGTTATTGTTAATTTTAATCTTCCATTTCTGGAAGTATTTTACCATGAGGTCAATATTTCTGGACGGAATGTACGTGAAGCTCAGAACTTCGTTAAAACATGTCAACGTGTAGCTAGCGGCATGACGATGCAAATTGATGAACCAAAGTAGTAAGTAATTAACTGAATGTGTATATCTGAATAACTAGTTCAGTTATTTAAATATATTTTAAAACACTAAGCGATGTGGTCGTTTCAATATATTTTTTTTTGGTCACACATATTTTTCATCAGTCACTTTTTGGTCACTCATTTTTTTGGTCAAACGTATTTTTCGTCAATCATTTTTTGGATCTATCATTTTTTAGTCAAACATATTTTTGGTCAATCCATTTTTTGGTCAGCCACTTTTTTGGTTCATTTTTTTGGTTCATCATTTTTTTCGTTCAACATATATTTAGTTCGTTCAACATATTTTAGGTTAGTTTATACTGACAATCCTAATAATCCACTTGGGCCAATTGATGGTTTACCGTATAAGAACGGAAAGCTTTAAAAACTACCTCGACCCTTTGACAAAGCCTAAAATGATCTTTGAAGAGTTAAATGTGCAATTAATTTGCTATTTATATTATGAAATATAATTCATTTTCCTTTAGTAACAAGTATGATTAGAAGGGATAATATGCTAGCTGAATTATTAGATTAGGTTAACACTTTTCTTTTATATTAATACCAAAAGCTAGTTTATTTCTTTATGCATCTAAACGTATGCCATCTAAGTTTGCCACCATCTTCATCTTTAGGCATCTTTATTGCAAAAGTCAGCAGAATAAAGGACAGAATAAAGATACCTAACTTTAAACTGTATGAAAAGGACTGAATTTTAGTGTGGGCCGCGTTGGAGGAACTTAGTTTCGGGAATGTATGTCCTGGAGCCATTTGTCTATCCCGACGACCATGCGTTTGTGACCATGTTATCATGTTGATGTCGTATTAACCAGTGCTTATCTGTAAAGAATAAAAAATTACTCGACCATACATGTTTTTGTGGATGTGGGTGGGTAATTGATGAGCCAAGCTGGGGAAGATTATAGGGATTGGGGTTATATTTTGGTTAAGCTTGCCATACTCGTAACGTATTTTGATTGCAAATAGTACAGTTCCACGATAAGTAATTCCAAAATCTTTTGCTTAAACAGACCTTTAAATATATTTGAACGATATGTTTTTGTGCCCAACTCACAAAAATCTGGGACGTAGATCTTTTTCAATTCTAACTCGTATGATGACATTTAAAGTCACCTATCCACCATAATTATATCGCAATTACAGTATATATAGTATATACATATTCAGCTATTTTGATGTTTTTTTTAATGTTCTTTTGTATTTTATTTTAAAGTATTGAAATGAAGGATGACAGAAATAATTCTTATGCTTCAGCTATAGATGCTGCTGCATCTCAAGATCTGCAGATCGTTATGGCGGTTCTTTTCAGTCCCAACGAAGAAAAGTAAATATTAAATATTTCTAAATAATCACGACATTATTGATATTATTTATTGATTTGCAGATATCCTGTAATTAAGAAAAAATGTTCCGTTGATGGAGTAGTTGCTTCACACGTTGTGACTATAAAGGTTATTGCACCTCGTCCAGAAAAATCGGCTGGTCTAATGTCAATAGCAACGAAGGTTGTCATACAAATGAACGCTAAATTGCGTGGAACTCCATGGATGATTGATATGCCTAATCTTGGTATTATGACATGCGGTTTTGATGTATATCATTCAACTAAAAATAAACATAATTCATATGGCGCATTTGTTTCAACAATGGACATAAAGAAGTCATCAAGATATTATTCATTAGTCCAAGAACATGTAAAAGGCCAAGAATTATCAAATTATTTAACGCTAAATGTTGCGAACGCTTTACGGGCATTTAAAGAGGAGCATCAATGCTTGCCTGAACGTATAGTATTTTATCGTGATGGAGTTGGTAATGGTCAGCTGCACCAAATTGTAAACCATGAAGTTAAAGCTCTAGTCAATAGATTAGACGAAATATATAGTAGCGTTGGAAGTGCACGTCCACGCTCTGCATTTACAGTTGCATCTAAAAGAATCAACACGCGATACTTTCTTAAAGGTCGCAATCCTCCACCTGGTACCGTTGTGGACGATATTACTACTTTACCAGAGCGTTATGACTTTTATTAAGTGTCGCAGTCTATATTCCAAGGTACGGTTTCACCTACCAACTACAACGTTATACACGATACAACTGGATTTAAGCCAGAACATATTCAAATGCTAACTTATAAAATGACGCACATATATGGTATTATAATTGGGTTGGTACCTGCCGCGTACCAGCAGTGTGTCAATATGCTCATAAATTGGCATTCTTGGTAGGTGAGAACATCAACCGTGCTCCATCTACTGCACTCGAAAAGAATTTATATTTGTTGTAAGAAATATTTTTTCCTTATAATTATATTTAATTTTTATTTTTTATTAGTTGACGGCGGTGGAGACGCTACAAATTCACTTTTTATTTAATTTGTTGCACACTGAGGTAACATAAGTGCTAAAATAATACCTCATACTTGAGTTTAATGAACAAACTTTTAGTAACTATATGCTTTAATTTGAATATTTTTATATAAAAAACAAACAAAATATAAAAAATTTGAATTTACTTTAAACAAAAACATTTAGATTCCATTTTTGTTTGGTGTACTTTACCTCACAACTCGAATGTTGTAGATATTTTTCCTATGAGGACATTCCAAATGTTCCTGAAATAATTTACCAAAATATGAATCTGTTTTTGTTTGAATATTTTATAGAATAAGAATATTATAATAATATTATCGTATCCATTAAGTTTGTTTTTGCGAATTGATTTCCTTTTGTAA